CAAGTGGCCAAAGTTTTGGAGCTTCAGCGTGAGTCCTTTCAATGATTGTGATTCATTCATTACCCCCAAATAACTTGCCTTTCATTTGAAAAAGTTCAAAACTGGGACTTTTGGCCCAGTGGTTAAGACTCCATGCTACCACTACAAGGGGTGTGGGTTCCATCCCTGATCAGGGAACTAAGACCCCCCACAGGCCACACAGCGTGGCAGAAAGAAAAAAAAGACTGTTTCCCAGACAACCCCAGTTTCTCTGCTTAGTACTAGTTAATGCTTTCATTAATAACTAGGGAAACATAACTAATCGTTTAATTCCTGCAGACAGAACCCTTCCCCTGATGGAACTCTCAGGCTGGATAGCTGTCTCCTTATCCTCTCCTGGGCTGTCATCCCACTACTAGAAAAATAAAGATGCAGCAGCTGAGAGTTCTGCCCCATAGAAAGGGAGCACTAAGGTGAAACGTGAGAAATCCGCTGAGCCAAGGACCCCGATCATCACTGGGTCAGAGCCATGGAGCTGCAATTTTCATGTCCTGTGGCTGGTACTCTGGTACACTCTGAAGAAGCTCCATGTAGAGCTGGGGTGATTAGGATGTGCCAATGTATGCCCATCAACTGTACAAAGGTACCAAAAACTAAAGAAAGAAGCTTCACAGAGTTGATGAGTGTGTGCATGTGTGTGTGCTCACTCACTCAGGCATTCCCGACTCTTTGCAGCAGCCTGGACTGTTGCCCGCCAGGCTCCTCTGTCCATGCGATTTCCCAGGCAAGAATACTGGAGTGGGTTGCCATGTCCTCCTCCAGGGGGATCTTCCTGACACGATTTCTTTCTCCCAAGGATCTTCCCTACCGAGGGATTAAACCCATGTCTCCTGCATTGGCAGGCGGATTCTTTACCTCTGACCGACCATGGAAGCCAAAGAGTTAAGGACGATGCCATAAACCTAGTTTTCCATCATGTGCCGTCTAACAGCACATTTGTTTTTATACATGGCCCCCAGCTCTGCTCTGCGCTGAGTCTTCCAGAAACAAACTACAAAATCTCCGGGATTGTGCGGCTGATAACTCTGACTTTGGAGGGGGGAGGGGTCAGGGCAAGTGGTGGAGGAGGAGTGAGCGGGATAAGGACTTGGAAAGTGCAGGTAAGTCTCCCTGAATGAAGAAGACTGGGACACTGGAGTTGGGGGCTGTGTCCTGAGTCATCGCTGGGTCTGCAAGCTGAAGGACACAACAGAGGTTGGCATTGCCCAGTAGGGGAGCCCAGTGCTTGACTCTGACCAATAGGAAGGAAGTATCTGTGGCTGATTCTACAGAGCCAACTGATCCCTCCCAGCAGCATCACGAGGATGACCTGAGATACTAAGTCTGATGCTAGCAGCTCAGAGCTCAGCAGGGAAGAGGTGCAGAGCTCAGAACAGGGAGAGTCCCTCCCAGTGGGGCTCAGGACCCAGCATTTCGGGGGGAATCTATGCAGAATACAGTGCAGGCTGGTCCCTTCCTGGGTCCTGGCCTTTCCTGGACTCCTAATGAATCACAAGTTCTCTGTGATTTTTATCAGCCTTGAACTGAGAGGAAAATGCAGCTAAAGGGAAAGACATCAGCCAGTAGGAGTGTGGACTAAGTTTCTGCAACTTACACTGTCTGGCTCACTGTCTCTATATCCACTTTAATGTATTATTTATGGGTAAATTAATAGAAACCTATCAAGCAAGGCTATGCACACAGTGCTGTGTTCAACAACAGATGGATCCAATAGCGATTATTTTAGAATAATAACAACACTTTAAAAATGCCTGGTCATCAGTACTACATCGGGAGTGCTAACAGGACTGCTGGTCTCATCAACCACACAGCCGGTGAGGGAACCTGCGGCTGATGCTGGTGCTGATCTCTGCCTGCGGTGGAGTCCGCCAACCCCACACTTCAGTTTTAGTTTATCCCCAGGACCCTGCATTCTGGGGCAATTGTTCTGGGGGAAAGTGAGGGGAGGGCACATTTTTCAAGCCAATGTAATAGACAACAGAGCTTCCCTGGTGGCTCAGTGGTGAAAAATCCACCTGCCGATGCAGGAGATGCAGATTTGATCTCTGGATTGGGAAGATCCCCTAGGGAAATGGCAATGCATTCCTGCCTGGGAAATCCACTGAACAGAGGAGCCTGGTGGGCTACTAGTCCATGGGGTCACAGAGAGTTGGACACGACTTAGGGACTAAACAACAACAACAGTACAATAGCCAATGGTTTCTTTCGGCTTATACCTGTCCACATCTAAGATGGGGAGCTCTCCCCCTTCCCACCTCCCGGAGCTCAGACTGAAGCTCATTGAGGTGCTGTGTTTCCCTCTCCCCTTCTCCTGAGAACTCACGGGGTAACTCTTGGGGAACAAAGAGGCAGTTGGAATCCTCACCACCCAGGGCCCCTACAATGGGAAGTGGGGCACTTTTCTGTAGCTCTTACCCCTTGGTTTCCTCATCAATAACAATACACCTGTTGTGAAGGTTATATATAGGGCATCAAACAGTGGCCATGCTCAAGAGCTCACCTGACTCACAGCAGAGGCTCCCCAAGGTCAGCTGAGGTCACTCATATTTTCTAAGGAACGTCCCACACGCCCCTGCTGGGTCCCCGCTGGCAACAACAGGCAAAACCCTGACTCTTCCATCCGTCCAGCGACTACATCATCAGCTGGAGACATCAAGAAGTTTGGGTTCTCACCTCATGTTCATGAAAGACCTCAGAATTACACTTTTGAAGCTGTCTCCAAGGGAGTCTGCAAACCCAGCGACAGAATTACACAGAGTGGATTTCTCCAAAACCTCTTCATCATGCAACTTAAAACCCCAACCCGTGACAAGACCCAATTTCCCCTTGAAATTAGGACAGCTGACTCTTGAATAATTGGGGGATTAGAGGCATTGTTCCTCCAGACAGTTGAAAATCTGCATATAATTTATAGTCAGCCCTGATATAAATGGTTCCTCTTTATCCACACCCCTAGATTTCACCAAGGGAAGACCATGTAGTGTTCACTATGGAAAAGTATCCATCGGTAAGTGGACTCGCGTAGTTAAACCTGTGCTGTTCAAGGGTCAGCTGTATTTCCAACACATCTTTTCAGTGTAGCATTTGCATTTAAGAGCATTCACTTGTTCATTGTGAGCAGTTAAACTATACCAAATTTTTAATGTGATTTTGTGTTTTCTCCATTTATTTATTGAAACTGGATTGGGTGGTGGAAAAGCAGTATTCTAAAACAGCCTGGTTTCTTCGTTACATACAAGGAGCTCTGCTAAGATATTAACAGAGGTTATGAATGAGATAAAGAGGTGTCTATGAAACCGTGAAATAGCAGGCTGAATTCTATAGGCTTTTGTGCATTTTCCTGCGAAAACTTCCACTGATTTAATTAGATTATTGGAAGTGGAGGGAACGGTCAGAACAGAAAAGAAAGAGGGGAGGGGAAAGGGCGAATACATGGTGGGAAAAGGCAGCGCCCTGAGGTCTGAAGGGAATTCGCATTCCAGGCTGCAGCCCCAGGTGCGACCACCTGTAAGTCCTGCAGTCCCTCACGCCGACACTAGAGGGCGCACCAGGGCACAGCCAGCCCAGCGCGGACGCTGCAGACGCTCCGAGCGGCCAACAGGGGGCGCTGCTACAGATACAGAGGGAGCCCTACTTGGAGATGCGTAGCCCAGTCACCTTCCCTGTGAAGCGAGGTTCTACGGCCCTGGGGCTGGTGGACGGGGCCAGAGGGAGGCTTCCCTGTGCACTGGTGGAAGAGATCCCACCTCGTCCAAATCCTGAGGGCGACTTTAGCTTTGGGGAGGCTGGAGGGAACATTGCAATGAGCCCAGTGACCTTTGCAAAATCCTCTCTCGGGATGTCTCAGAGGTCGGTGTCCCTGGATTAGAATCTCAGCTCTTCCCTTCACTGTGTGACTTTGGACAAGGAGTCCATCTCTCTGAACCTCAGTTCCTTCCACCACTAAAATGGGGATAATGACCATGCCCAAATGGTACAGAATTAAATGAGAAACCTGCAGGGGGCCCACAGTACAGAGCATGTGGCACGTGATAAATCTTCAACTATCATCTTACTATTGCTAACATTACTCTTGTTACCTATCGTTGTTACTATAGTATTATGACTACACGATTACTATTACTGTATTACTGTGTTTGTCCATTGGGCTGCTGTTTGGCCACTCTAGATTCTTGTCCCAAAAGAACTATTTCTTCGGTTAGAACATGCAGTTCTAAACCTTGATCTTTTCCATTCTTGAAAGTTTCAAGGGCCTGAAGTCTTTCTGGTTTTGTGCAATTTACTTGCCATTGAATTTCACCACATTTAAATCGATCTAGCTAAAATGTCTCTGGGCGGAGGGATTAGATGAAGACTCAGGATTGCTGGCTTGAGAGATTCCTGCTGGCTTTTAGCAGGAAAGAGAAGTCAGCTTCCTCAAGGATACCTCAAAAGGCCATGTGGCCCAAGGGCTCCAGATTGGGAGGACGGCCACCTAGGTTCAGATTCCAGTTCTGCCCTGAACTCCTCTGTGACCTCAAGGGGGCGCTCCATCTCTGACTGCCTGCTCAGCTGCACATGAGGCAGTCAGTGTATTTTTTTTTCCATTTATTTTTATTAGTTGGAGGCTAATTACTTTACAATATTGTAGTGGTTTTTGTCATACATTGACATGAATCAGCCATGGATTTACATGTATTCCCCATCCCGATCCCCCCTCTCACCTCCCTCTCCACCCGATTCCTCTGGGTCTTCCCAGTGCACCAGGCCCGAGCACTTGTCTCATGCATCCAGCCTACATTTTTATCCTTGTGGTTCCCCCGGCTGTGACTTCGTGGCTCCTAGTTCTCCTACATCTGTTAGAAGACTCTGCTATTTGCACGAATGCATGGGTCTGAGGAAGGAGAACCCAGGCATTGCCAACCTCAAGGGGATGGGGGGTGGGGGCGTGGATTCGCGAAGTCCTCTGTTGGACGGTTAGTTCAGCCGCTGCCTACACATGACCTTGACAAGCCACTCCTTACTTCTCCCCCAGGGGTCAGCACGTGGAGACATTCAGGGTAGGGCACATGCCATTCGACCTCCGTTTGCAGCTGGAGTCCCAGCCCGAAGTCCTGCAGAGAGAGGTGTCCATCAGCTGGAGGTCAAGGTCACCAGGGGCCACCTTAGGAAGGGGAGAGTGCCCAGCACTGCTTGATCTCAGACTGTGGTTTAAAGGCAAGTCCATCTTCCTTTATGGAGCTCTGCTCCAACTGAGTAAGGTCACAGTGGCCCCTGCAGGGGCTCTGGATATCCTAAGACTAGGTCCAAGTCCATCCATCTCTAAATGTGTAACATTAAACCTCTGGCATCACCTCTGAACCCCAGTTTCCTCCACTGGAAAATGAGGGTGTCAGGGACTTCCCTGGTGGTCCAGTGGCTAGGACACTGTCCTCCCAGTGCAGGGGGCCTGGGTTCTGTCCCTGGTCAGGGAACTAGACCTCGCATGTCACAGTTGAGGATCCCATATGCTGCAGCAAAGATTCTACCTGCCACAGTTAAGGCCCAGTGCAGCCAAATAAATTTTAAAAAAAGAAAAGAAAAATGGAGTTGCCAGTTCTCCAAACTTATGAGAGGAACATCACCCAGGGAGCACCCCCCCAATCCCTGCCTTCTCACTGTGCCCAGACTCAGGTTCTTCAGCCCTCATGTTGCTTTCTTCTTCTCCCTAATCAGGAGAATGGATACATTCTGTTCACAATCAAAGCTGCATGTCAGGAGGTTAAACTGGGAACCAAGCTCCAAAACATCAAGGATAAACGTGCCTCTGCACCCCAGTGTTCATAGCAGCACTACTGACAAGAGCCAAGACACAGAAGCAACCTAAGTGCCCATCAGCAGAGGGATGGATAAAGAAGATGAGGTACGCATACACAACGGAATATTATTCAGCCATAAAAAGGAATAAAATAATGCCATTTGCAGCAATGTGGATGGACCTAGAGATTATCATGTGGAATCTAAAAAAAATTATACAAGTGAGCTTATTTACAAAACAAAAATAGACTCACAGACATAGAAAACAAACATGGTTACCAATGGGGAACGGGGGGTGAATAAACTAGGAGTTTGGGATTAACAGATGTGCACTACTATACATAAAATAAATAGCAAGGACCTACTCTGTAGCACAGGCAACTATATGTAATATCTTATAATAACCTATAATGGAAAAGAATTTGCAAAAGAGTATAGATGTAATAACTGAACCACTTTGCTGCAGCCCTGAAACTAACACAACATTATAAATCAATTATACTTCAATTAAAAAAAAAAGATACATGTGTCTTCAAGGGACACAGGCAGAGTGGCTGTACTTGACCCTGATATTGGAGATACAGTCACAGACCCGAGACCCCGGTGAACCCCCAGGACCTTGTCCGGAGCAGGGCCTGATGGAGAAGAGAGGTGAGAGGTGGCCCGCAGAGGAGGAGGAAGCGTGCAGGCGTGTTTACTGAGGGAGGAAGTCGGTAGGCTCACAGACCTACTCTGGCTCATTCCAGGGTTTCTCCGCGTGATGCCAAAACAATTCCAGAATGCTAGTTCTTCATTAGAGATGCTAAAGACAGAAAGGAACAAAAGATCTAATTAATATTGAAATCAGAGTGATGCTGATGGAACAAAAGATTGGGGATGTAGCAATAGCTATCCTCTGGCCAACAGGAAATATATGACACATCTCCCATCAGGAGGAACAATAAAAGTCCAAATTACCAGCATAAAGAAGGACAAAATTAGGCAATAACATCCAAGCTGCCTGACGACTTATTCTTAGCTGCCTGGCTCCTGGTGATGGGTGAAGGGAAGGATATTCATGCCCAGAAATAGAAGAACAGTGTTTTCTGGAGGAATGTTTGCCAAGCATCACTGAAAGAGTGAGAAATGGGCTTAAACTGCTCTGGGATTTCTCTCCATCTCCTTCTGATAAAATTAGGATCCATCTGAGGGTTTCTCTGGAAGCTTGTTGGAGCCTACAGCAGACAAGGACCCTTCCAAGGTAAGTCAGTGCAGAGAGACTGCTCTGAATCCCCTTCATCAACATCATGGGGTCCCCACAAGGTCCTCAACCCCACTCTCACCCGTGACCAGGCCCCATCTTTCATTAGTGAACCTGCTCCTACAGCGCAGGACACATGGAGAAGGTGAGAATGACAGACCCCAGGCAAAATGCATTTGCCTATCTCTTTCAACTGGATGATGTGTGAACATTGAAAAGTCACAAATCGGGCATAAAAATCTGGATTTTCAGAAATTTCTGTCTTTAAATGAGAGAAGAAATAGGAAGGGACTGTCAGGCCACTTTTCAGTACCATGAATTTCAACGTGCAGTAGACTAATGTGTATGCACAACTCACTGATTCCAGACACTTAAACCTCTCCAACCTCAGTTTTCTGGGCAGTAAAATAGGGATAATAATTTACTCTGTGGGGCTGCTGGGTGTGTTGGAGGCTGCAATGTGTTTAACCCAGGGGAACAGAGTCTGGCATGGTGTCACTGTGGGCTGTGATGGTTGTCACTGCTCCTTCTAGCAGACCTTTTGGGGCAGGAAGAGAACTAAGACATGGACGCATGGTGCAGGCATCCCTAATATGTCCGTCTACACGGGGGATGGGAGCACAAAGGTGAGGCCTCCAGGGTGGGAGTGGACCAGAGATGCAGAGCAGCAGGAAGCGGGCAGCAGCGCAGGGCAGGGGCCCCTGAGCCAAGTCCAGAGGACAACCCAGGTTTCTCCAGGTGCAGAGAGTGGGGGAGGGGAGCTGGGTGCAGGAAGGAGTATTATGAGCCCAGGAAAAAGATGCACAAAGCCTCTAGCTGTCTGGGGACCTGGGTAGGGTGCAGTGTTCTTGGGATACAGAGAGATGAAAATTTCCCTGATGAATCAACCCTCCCTCACTCTCTCATGCCTAGACTCTGTGTTTTAGGCTAAAGTGATGTCACCTCCAGCCTCACAGGTGGATATCTGACCCAGGCAAGACCAAGGTGTATATTCTCTTCTATGGCCACAGAACTGCAGGATCAAGAACAGATACCAGACCCAATATTGTTCAAACCTGGGATCTCGTAGGAAGCCTTAGAGCAGAGAAGCTTCGTTTTTCTGGCCTTGAATATAAAACAACATGAACCTCTGGGTGTCAGAGGCCACATATAGAAAGAGTCCCAGAAACGTGGATGCAGCTAGAGGTGATCACACTGAGCAGAGCAAGTCAGACAGATAAAGACAAATAGCACATGGTGTCACTTACAGGTGGAGCCTCTAATATGACACAAATGAACTTACCTACAAACAGAAGCCGACTCACAGACGTAGAGAACAGATTTGTGGCTGCCATGGGGGCAGGGGTTTGGAGGAGGGAAAGATTGGGAACTTGGGATTAGTAGAAGCAAACTAGTATACATGAGATGGATAAATAACAAGATCCTACTACAGAGCACAGGGAACTCTTTAATATTTTGTGATAGACTATAGAATATTAAAAATATTTATATATATACATGTGAAAGTGAAGTTGCTCAGTTGTGTCCAACTCTTTGCGATCCCATGGACCCATTTCCTTCTCCAGGGGATCTTCCCAACACAGAGGTTGAACCTGGGTCTCCCGCACTGCAGGCAGACGCTTTAACGTCTAAGCCACCAGGTAAGCCCATGTATATACATACATATGCATATATAAGAATGTATGTATATATAATATATATTCATATATATATATCCCTGGAAAGGGGAATGGCAACCCACTCCAGTATGCTTGCCTGGAAAAGTCAATGAACAGAGGAGCCTGGCAGGCTAAAGTCCACGGAGCTGCAAAGAGTTGGACATAAATGAGCACACACATAAACACACAGAAACACATATATGTAAGGATATATACATATTTATGTATAACTGAATCACTTTGCTGTATAGCCAAAATTACCACAATATTGTAAATCAACCATGCTTCAATAAAAAAATTAATTTATAGAAAAAGTCCACCTGAGAATAAATACAACCTAGAAGATATCGGAACTAAAGGTAGAGAGAAACCAAATCCTAACAAGCTTCTGATCCAACCTTGCTTGAACTCATTACATCCACTTCTAGTTACGTGAGCCAACATACTGGGTTGGCCAGAAAGTTCATTTGAGTTTTTCTGTAATGTGTTGCAGAAATACCAAAACGAACCTTTTGGCCAATCCAATACTTGCTCTGTTGGCTCAAGCAAGTGAGATTTGGGTTTTTGTTCCTAACCAACAAACAAAATGCCCAGACATAACTAGGGAGGGAATTCCAGTTATACCTGCCAGACCTCATGAGTTATCACCACTGTCCAATCCCATCCAAATGGATAATGACATCTTTCGCTCAAAGAGTGTAGTTCCATCATGTCCCTCTAAGGTACTGAGTCCAAGAAACATATTTCCTATCATAACCCTCAAGATTCAGACTTGAGGAAAACTGAGCCCCTTTGGGGGACAGCCTTTTGGCAGCTGCTAAAAATCAACCCAGGAAATTCGGCTCATTTGTCAAAGCCAGTATTTTCTCCAGAGGTGATGTGGGACTCTGTTTAGTAACCAAACAGTTTGTGTAAGCAGCGGGGAACTTTTGATTTCCCTCTGATAGCACATCCATCAGAAGATTCTGCCTTCAGCAGTGACAGGCCAAGCCTGAACACATGATGCTTCCCTGGGGATAGGAAAGCTTTAGCAGGGAATGCCCTCAGTCTTTTTGCATCTCTTAGTTGCTAGTCTGGCTTCCCAGGTAGCATAGTTGTAAAGAATCTGCCTCCCAATGCAGGAGACACAGGAGATGCAGGTTACTTGGATCCCTGGGTTCCTGGGTCAGGAAGGTCCCCTGGAGGAGGAAACAGCTACCCACTGCAGTATTCTTACCTAGAAAATCCCATGGACAGAGGAGCCTGGCGGGCTACAGTGCGCGGGGCCGCAGAGTCAGACGCGAGTGAGCGACTGAGCAGGCACAGCTGATACTTACTGGAAGGAGAGACAATGAATTATTTCAAAAATGAGATGGAGAGCATCATCCTTGAGATGGTACACCCACCCACCAACACACATGGCTGCATTTTTATTTCTCTC